CGCATGAGATTGCTCCGCACATCCCTTGAAGCGCTTGAGCACGCTAGGAATAACGATCAGTCTTCTGAGGATTTCCGCCCAAAGAGGCAGAGAGGCGTGGCTCCACAGAAGCCCCCCGCCCCCCGCGTTTGTGCCCTGTTCCAGTCCCAGCACTCTGTAGCCCCTTGTGGATCCAAGTGCGCCCGTTGTAGGACCACTACCACGCTGGCCTCAAGGGCCCAGTGGTTGCTCAGTGACTGCTTCGATCTATGTAATGTCGATGGCACATATATGATGGCTCCTCTTGGGAAACAGGTACACGTCGCAGGGGGATATGTAGACTCGACTCACACTTTAAGGTTCCACGCTGGGCTGAATCTATGGTTTTGTTCCGTCTGCGGGTCCTACGCAAACCAGCTTCTCGGGAAACTCGGGGGTCGGTGCGAGACCCCGACACCGACAGGCATTGCTTACCTGCGGAGAATCGCCAAGGGAATCTGGCCTAAGGCCCTCAGTCGAGCTGAGCGCGAAGCCAGAGACCAACGCACCCCACGGAGGGTCGCGGATCTTTAATTTCATTCAATCGCTACGCGATCATGCAGAATCTCCAGAATCTCCTCCTCCTCTTCCTCCTCCTCCTCCTCCTCCTCTCAGGGGCTTGGGCCGCCCGTCCCTCGACGGCCCTGATGCTATGGAGGCTCGTGTGACTGGGCGGCGACCGCCAGCGCGTCCGCGGCCAGTGTCTTCCGAGCTTTCTGCCTCTGCTCTCGGCAGCGGCGGCACTCCTGGTAGTCGTCCCCCTCTCTTTCCTGGCCTCCTCCTCCTCCTTTTCCTCCTTTTCCTCCTCCTCCTCCTCCTCCTCCTCCTCCTCCTCCTCCTCCTCCTCCTCCTCCTCCTCCTCCCCCTCCCCCTCCTCCTCCTGCTCCTCCTCCTTCTGCTCCTCCTCCTCCTGCTCCTCCTCTAAGAGGAACTTGGCCTTCTCGTCTCGGCTTGCGCTGGCCGGAGAGCTTGGGGCAGACGTGCCAGCGGGAACATCCGCTGCATTCGCACTTCCTGCTGCTGCTGCACGCTGCGCTGCCCTGCCCTTGCCGTGTGTGGCGGGAGCTGGTGCTTCAGCATCGACGAATGCAGGGCGACGAGTGCTTCTTTGCCGCCTGCTTCCACTTCCAGGGCGTCGAACGCGAAGCATGGCCCAGGATCGAAGCTGCGCCCCTCTGACTCGAGGAGCACCGTCAGGTTGATCGCTGCCTTCGGCGTAGCCTCACCCGCTCCTGTCTCCGCGCTGATCTTTGGCCTCCTCCTTCGAATATCCGCAGGCGCTTCTTCCACATCTGCCTGGGCGTGCGCCAAGTGCTGTGCCGCTTGTTCTGCTTTTTACTGCCGCTCCTGGTACAATTTCTGTGCTCTCCTCGCGCTGTCCTTAGCTATGTCCAACGATGTCTGTGCTTTCCTTTCCTTGGCCATCGCATTTTTGTGCACCTGCGATGGATAGATATTGTGCTGCTGCTGCTGCTGAGCTGGGAGTTGCTGCTTTTTTTGAGCCCCTCGATCGCTGCCTTATCCAGGTACGGTGCCGCCTGCTGCAACATTTGCAGCAGTTCCTCCGCTGACTTGGCTGCGATATCTCCGTCTTGAGCATCCTGAAACTTCTGCTGGTGCCTCTCCCTGATCCTCTCTCGAGCCCGTGACCTGGGCCAGGACTCCCACGAGGACCATCCTTGTTCTGTGTCGAGAGCTCTCTGCACCCCGGTCTCCCATTTGCCCTGCACGCGCAGCTTCCACGGGGGGGAACGGACTCGAGTTCCAGCCGCTGGCTGCAATTGAACCACTTGTCACTTCCTCTCCAGTTTTCCCTGCAGCTGGACGCCGTCCGTGATACGTATGAGACGATTTTGTTGCTTTCCGACCACATGCTGCCTGCTGTCTCACTCCGCCCAGCCTGACGTGCACACAGTCGGGAGGGAGAGCTCACCCACGGTTGCGCGCAGCTCGACCGTGGAGGCTCAATCAAATCTTGAGTCTAGCCGCGGACCAGCGGTATCCGTTGGCTTCCTCAGTTTTGAGCCAAGATGGCTACGGAGGAGGAGGAGGAGGAGGAGGAGGACGAGGAGGAGGAGGAGAGGGAGGAGGAGGGGGAGGCGGCGGCGGCGGCGGCGGAGGAGGAGGAGGAGGAGGAGGAGGAGGAGGAGGATGAGGAACGATCGTCTTATTGCCCGAGACGCGGGAGGTCAGTTAGTGGGGCGGACTGTGCCGGCGCGAGGAGATCCGTTCCCTGAACGCGGAGATGGCCGAATTGGAGGTGCCAGGGCGGGGGCTGCTTTGGCCTACCCCCTCCTCTTTCCTGCCCCCTCCCGCTTAACGCCTCCCTGCCCTTGCGGTCTGGACACCCAGGCACGATGCACTGGGTACGCGATCCCATGGATGCGCTCGTTCAGCGCGGGGCATCCGCGCGGGGCCGCCTTTTACCCATAGGGTGGCGGCCGAGGAGTCCGGACGGCGAAGCCGTGGATATGTCGGAGGCCTAGAGCTTGACACCAACACCACTATCGGCGGTGTGCCTCCATCGGGGGTGGACAGAACCCCCAACAGTGACACGTCGATCAGTGAATTGTCCGTTTTCGGTTCTCGAGAGGGCGCCGTGGCCGTTATTTTCCAGGCTTGCGCCCGCCAGGTTTGGGCCTCAGGTCGTTTTCACTAAACCACGTTTTACTAAAGGGGGGTCTGTCCATCCCCGACTCCACCGAGGGAAAATGATTCCGATCTCGGTGATGGTGACGATATTCGGGCTTCCCAAGTGGCCGAAACATTACCACAAGCACCAGAATCCAGGATCGCCTTCCCCCAGTGGAGGCATCCCCTTGTGTTGGTGTTGGTGCCCATTTCCAAGCCTCCAGATATGGACATGTCTCCCTCCCTCTCCCCTGGGGGGCCCAGAAGCGTCGACGGCCCGTCTCGAGAGGGTTCGTCGCTGCGACGGGTTCCCCAGGGGGTGAGGATTAAGGCTGGCATGTCCCTCTACAGGAGGAATATTCAAACATAGTTTAAAAAGCATAGTCTGGGGACGTTTTTTTTTTTTCCTCTCAAAATCCGCCTGTAGGACTGTCACATCAACAAATCAATGGACGTCCTGGGGTTTCAGGGTTGAGTTTCTCGTGGAAGGTTTCTTGTGGTCGGGCTCCTACTATAGCCTTAGAGTGCCTTCGCGTGCGCTCGCGTCTGGTAGCCGATGAGAGGGCGACGAAGGAGCGTCGAGTAGCGTTGATCCAGCGTCGGCTCGCGTCGATCAGCGTCGGTCGGCGTCAAGCGCCTGCGATGCGACATGGGAGGCTCCCACGAGCCGAAGCAGAGGTCGTCGATGCGACAGGCCCCCCCAGGGGGCGGAAGAGCACGGCTCCCCCACTCGTGGCCGGCCGGGCGCATCCGCCAACCTTCGCAGGCGCGCACCGCGGCCCCGTCTGGTCGGGCCCCTACTGTACCGCGCATCCCTATACCCATTATTCGGTGACGTAGGTTTCTGGTGCGCCCGTATCCCAATCTACATTGGGTTCCATCCCGCACCAAAAATCAATAGACGTTTTGGGGTCTCAGGGTTGGGTTTCTTGTGGAAAGTTTCTCGTGGTCGGGCCTCCACTGTTGTTGTTGTTGTTGTTGTTGTTGTTGTTGTTGTTGTTGTTGCTGTTGCTGTTGTTGTTGATGATGATGATGATGGTGCTGATGATGATGATGATGATGATGTTGATGATGATGCTGATGATGATGATGATGCTGATGCTGATGCTGATGATGATGACGATGATGATGATGATGATGATGATGATGATGATGATGATGATGATGTTGTTGTTGTTGTTGTTGTTGTTGTTGTTGTTATTATTGCTGTTGTTGTTGTTGTGGTTGTGGTTGTTGTTGTTGTTGTTGTTGTTGTTGTTGTTGTTGTTGTTGCTGTTGTTGTTGTTGTGGTTGTGGTTGTGGTTGTTGTTGTTGTTGTTGTTGTTGTTGTTGTTGTTGTGGTGTGTGTGTCCGTAATGCCAATCTACACTGGGTTCCTTATTATTTCAACCATCGAATGGTCTTCCCCTGGCCTTCCTGTTCAGGCGGCGGGCGGCAACCCAGACTGCCTTCAGCGCTCTCTCGCTTCGTCCTTCTGCCCGCTCCTTCCGAACGGTGGGTTCGATGTCTGACCCCGTCGCGCTGCGCCCACAGCCAAGTCGCTGCAAGTGATGGGCTTGTTTTCCACCACCACCACCATAAGTTTGAGGGGGAGGGGGTCCTCCTCCTCCTCCTCCTCCTCCTCCTCCTCCTCCTCCTCCTCCTCTCCGTCCTCCTCCTCCGCGTCTCCGTCCTCCTCCTTCTCCCCTCCAACTTCTGGTGGTGGTGGTGGAAAACGGGCCCATCAGCAAGAGGGACCACTTTGGGCTCAGGGGGGGGTCTGGTTTTCGGGCCGTGCCTCAACCTTGGGCCGGGGAGTCTCTTCGTGGCCGAGGCCTGCCGTGGCCAGGGGGATGTCCCTCCCGTTCTGTATTCGGCGCTCCTCATGGCAGCATGATGGCTGCGACCGCTCACCCCCGAGGCGGGGACTCATCCATAAACCATCGCCTTGGGAATCGACCCTCGGGGACCTCGGCAGGCGGTGGATGCGGTCAATGCGCACGGTAGAGGTGAGCAGTTCTCCAAGATTGCCCTTGCCTCCTTGCCCCCTGGCCCATACCTGGCAGGTTTCGCCGGCCAGCCCCGAGGAGGAGGAGGAGGAGGAGGAGGAGGAGGAGGAGGAGGAGGAGGAGGAGGAGGAGGAGGAGGAGGAGGAGGAGGAGGAGGAGGAGGAGGATCGAGAAGGAGGAGGATCGAGAAGTGTCGACATGGCCTCCGAGGCCCTCGGCACCCTCGCCGCGCATCCCTCGTGTGCGCTGTGGCCGCTGGGGCAGATGCCCGCCCCGCACCACCGGCCCGGGTCACCGGAGGCGCGCCGGGGGACTGACATGACAGGGGGGGCCCTCCGCGCGGGCGCCCGGCCCTCGCCCGAGGCCCTCCGCGACAAGCTCGCGGAGGACGCGGCGCGGCGCGGGCGGGGGGGGCGGGGATCGAGCATCGAGGAGGCAGGGATCGAGGAGCGAGGGGGCGGGGATCGAGGATCGACGGATGAGGGCCGAGGGTCGAGGGTCGAGGGCCGAGGAAGGGGGGGTCGAGGACCGTGGATCGAGGCCTCTGGGCGCCTCGGGGACTCCTCGTCGGGGCCCCAGAGGCCTCCAGGAGCCCCTGGAGGCCTCGGGGGACGTCTGGAGATCTCGCGGGACCCTCGGGGGCCTCCGGGGAGGCAGGCTCTTGAAAGGAGCAGGCGAAACAGCACGAGCACTCGTGTTCCTAGCCAGGCAAGCGTTGGGAATTGGATCGGTGTGTGCCCCTTTTTGTTGGCAGCCCAGTGAACACAAGCTTCCACCCTGCACATCTCAACAGGGGCGTAGGACTGCTAGTGTTTTCGAAATTATTCACGCTTATCGCATTCCCACCAGCCCTTTCAGGAACCCTGCCCATGAGTATGGACGAACGGATACGTCTTGTGAAACAAAGCGGGCAGCCAGGATGAACATGGAGATCTGGGAGCAAGGGGATGGCCTTGGAGGGCCTCTTCGGGCCATCCGAGGGGCCCGCGGGGGGGCGATGGGAGGAGGAGGAGGAGGAGGAGGAGGAGGAGGAGGAGGAGGAGGAGGAGGAAGGAAAACGCTACAGGCTAGATCCTTAAGTCGGGCTAGCGTGAGGAGGAGGAGGAGGAGGGGAAGGAGGAGGAGAGGAGGAGAGGGAGAAGAGGAGAGGAGGCTGAGGAACAGGAGGAGGAGGAGGAGGAGGAGGAGGAGCAGGAGGAGGAGGAGGAGGAGGAGGAGGAGGAGGAGGAGGAGGCGGAGGCAAGCCGCCTCTCGGGGGCCTCGTGGGACGTTCTCGGGGCGCCCCTGGGCGCTCTCGGGGCCGCCTGGGGGCCTCCGTGGGGCCCTCTTGGGGGTCCCTTGGGAGACCTGCAGGGCCTTTTGAGGCAAGGGCGCCCTCGAGGGCGCGAAGTTATTCGCGCTTCGCGCTTCGCGGCTCGGCTCCGACTCCTCATCCTCCTCCTCCTCTCTCCTGGGAGGCGGCGCGAGAGCGCGAAGTTTTTCGCACTTCGCGCTTCGCGCAGCGCGAAGCGCGAAATTGGGAGCCCTTGCTTGGGAGACCTGGAGGGCCTCTTGAGGCCATCTTGGAGGCCATCGATCAAAGGAGGGGGGATCCTTGCCCCCGAGATCGCCTCTGGGGACCCTCTTTTGGGCCGCTCTTGGGCCGTTCTTGGGCGCTCTTGGGCCGTCTGGGGGGCCTCGTGGGCATCTCTTGGGCCTCTCTTGCGCCATCACGTGATGTCCAACACCAATCTGCTCATTTATCGAATTTTTGTGCACGCGCACTTCCTCGCCGCCGCCCTCATCAGCGCCGCCGCGTAAGCCATGATAAGCAAACTGTTTCACAACCGACGCATGGGACATCATCATCGCCGTCGTCGTCACCAACTTCGGAGCCGTCATTGGCCTTGTCGTTGCCTTCGTCATCATCGCCACCGCCATCGGTGCTATCATCATCGTTGCCGCCGTTGTCGTTCATCAGCGCCCGCCCGAGTCACCGACCCGCATTGAGGCGCCCGCGCGTCAGCGCGGCGTCCCAGCCGCGCTGGGGAGTTTCCATCGGCAAGCGCCATCTCGGCCGCGTCGGTTGCTCCAAATCAGCCGGCCGCTCTGCGCGCGAGCATGCGCGCGCGAGCGCAGTCGCAAAGATGCGCCAGCCAGTGCCAAGCAGTCACTACACTCGCGGCCGCTTGGTTGTTGTGAAGCAAGTTGTGGGTGGGAGGTTGGGATGATTGCGTGAGCAGTGGCATTGACGACGTCGAGTAATGCAAGGTGGATTTTCTTTCTTGCAAGGGTATTGGGTTCATCCACCCCCCTGGGGTTAACAGTACAGCTTCTCGTATTGTAAGTTGCCCATGATTCTGCCCCATCGTTTACCTTACTTATGAATTCATACCATCCCAGGCAAACCGGTATCGCCTCCTCATCCATTGCAAAAATATAATGCGCGCGTTCGTGTTTCAAAAACCCTCAGTTTTCAATAATCCTTCGGGAAACACGGGACGAATTGCACACGCGCGCGTCGTCGCGCGCGCATGCCACAATCCCTCAGAAGGTTTTGGTTTCACAAGGATTTCAATATCGAGAGTCACGTCGCAACACGGGTTTTCAAACATTTTGTGCGCCCGTGCTCTTGCGACTTCTTAAGAGAATCGCAGGTTTTTCAACATGTTCATGCAATGCTACCGAACGGGTCTTACGCGCGCGCGTGCCGAAATCGCTCGAACGCCCTTGCGCGCGTGCAGATTTCGAAATCGAGCGTCCCGAAAACATAAAAAACATTTGGTTTCACAGTATCAGTTTTCAAAAACACCTGCGCTCGCGATCTTGCGGACCTTTTCAGAAAACCAGGCGTTTTCATCATTTGCATAACATTCTGCCAAACGGACCTGTCGCGCCGCATGTCGAACTCATTCGAACAGCCTTGCGCGCATGCTGGGGGGAGGCACTATCCGTATCAACTGATACCACGCGGGCCACTCGCGCACGTCGGCCGCGCGCGCATGTCGAACTCGTTCCAAAATCTTCATCCCCGACGCGAGAAAAATCGTCATCGAAATCGGCGGGCATGATCAACGTCGGCGCCGTCATCTGGCCCTGCTGTCGTCCCACCATCGTCACCATCATCGCTACCCTCATGATTCTGTTTCGCCTTGTTGGCGTCGCCATGATACTGCGCCCGCCAAAGTCACCGACTCGCACTGAAGTGCCCGGTGCGAAGTGCCCAGCGGTCAGCGCCACCGCGGCCGCGTCGGTCGCGTGAACCTAGCTGGCCGCTGTTCGCACGAGCATGCGCGGGCTAGCGCGGCCGCAGAGATGCAACATCCAATGCCAAGCACTCATCGCAATCGCCACCCCATGTGCACATGCAAACCAAGTTGTGGGTGGGTGGGTGGGATGTTTGCAAGAAGGTGGAATGTATCAACTCGTTGGTCAAAATCCATTGCACCACATCTGTTGTACCGCAATAGCTGCCTCACATAGCTTGCGCCACTTGCGGAACATGACATCGTCCACGTGACATAAGCGGCACCGCGTCGTTGTATCGTGTAGCTTGTATGGTATAGCTTGCACTAGGCGGGTAGTTCCACCGCATGCACATTGCATTACGTATGTTGGGTCATGTAGATTCTCTTTCCGTAGAAACAATCGGATCACCCCCCGGGAATTAACGGCGCTTTTTTTCCGTATTGCAATTCACATTTGATTTTGCCCCATCGTCCATCTTACATATGAAGGCATACCATCCCAAGCAAGCTGGTACCAACATCCCTTCTCATATTTTTGCGAAACATATTATGCGCGCGCGTTCGTGTTTCAAAACCATGGGTTTTCAATGAACCCTTGCGACAAATGGGACGAAGTGTGCAAGCGCGTGTCGTCGCGCGCGCATGCCGAAATCTTTCACTCCCCCCAGGTTTCGCAAGGATTGCAACATCGAGTGTCTTGAACACATACAAAAGCACATGGTTTCGCAGCACCGGTTTTCAAACAAACATTTGCGCTCGCGCTCATGCGGATTCGTAAGAAAACCGTATTGTCCAACATGCTCATAGCATTTTGCCAAGCAAGCCTCTCGCGCGCGCGTGTCGAAATCATCCAAAAGCCCCTGCGCGCGTGCTTTCGCAATAATTCCTTGCAAACAATGAGACGAATTGCACGCGCGCGCGTCGTAGCGCGCGCACGCCGAAATCGCTCTAAAATCTGGGTCCTGATTTCAAAATCGAACGTCCTGGAAACATGAAGCCGTATGGTTTTGCAATCACCCCGAAAGGCTGCGCTCGCGACTGTGTGGGTTCTTCAGAAACCCAGGTGCTTGCAGCATGTTCAGACAGTTCTGCCAAACGGGCCTCCCGCGCCGCATGCCGAGATCATTCGGCGGCATGTGCACGCGTGCTGGGGCGGGGGCACGATCCGTCTCAAACATTGCCCTGCGGGCAACTCTCCCGCGTCGGCCTCGCACGCATCTCGCACTCGTTCCGAAACCTGCATCGCCGACGCGAGGACGCCATCATCGTCGTCGGCGTGATCATCATCGGATCCGTCACTGGCATTGCCATCGTCGTTGCCATCATCGTCACCAGCATCGCTACCATCATCCTCGTGTTTACCGTTCTCGCCGTTGCCATGGTATCGCGCCCGCCCAAAGATGACAACTCAGCGCAAACACACACACACACACATTATTTACACCCACCGCGCGCATCCAGGATTCAACCGCACACTGTTTGGGCCCGCGCTGGCACGCGTCAGAAGCAATGGGGTACTCTTCGTTACTCTACACCATGAGTGTTTCATGCTTCCTTCTTTCTCCCACGCCCTCTGCCCCCGCGCCCCCTCTATTCTCCGCTGTCTGTCGACCGTTCCACGGAAAGGTCATCCTCAGAAATTCTGCTTGCCTTGCTTGCCTGGTCTGACATTCCCGCCACCTGGCCCCCTCTGACCATGGTTGACTGGCAGGGTTGGCCGGGAGGGTTGGTTCGGGTTGCTTGGGGCTCGGCGGTGGGTTGGTTGAGGTTTGCTGGAAGGTTGGCTGGGGGTAACTCTCCGTTCTGTAGCTCTTTCGGTGCCATAGGGCACAGCTGGTCTCACGTTGCCCAGTCGCCTGCGGCATGCCTCGCCGCCGTGCCAGCGCAACGCCGATATATGCACGCAGCATGCTTCTGCCGGTCTCTCCTGGGCCGGCCCGGCAGGGCCGTGCCAGGGCCGTTCTGGAAGCGGCGCTAGGATGCTGCAGAGCGGTGTGGCGTCAGCCCTCAACGGTTGTCCCGTTGTCTCCTGGGAGCTGCCTGGAGGCTTCTCCGGGGCTTAGCTGAGGCCTCTCGGAGACCTTTTGAGGCCCCCTTGGGGGCTTCTGGGGGGATGTCGGTGGGACTCTTCGGGGCTTGTCGGGCGTCATGGGGTGATCTTGGGCGCGATGGTCCCGATGCCGTTGTAGACGCGTGCGGGCGGCTCGGTAGAACTAGCTTGGGGGCGTCTGGGTGGGTCTTTCGGGCTCTCTTGGAGCCCTCTTGGGTGGTTATCGGGCCGTCCATGGGCTCTCTTGGGATTCTCTTTGGCTCTCATGGCCCGTCTTGAAGGCTTCTGGCGGCTCTCCGCGCCGGTCTTGGGGCCCTCTGAGGCCTCATGGAGGCCGTCTTATGCCGAACTGTTTGGGACCGACACACCCGGGAGCACCCAGGGTTTTGGCGTGTCTTGAAGCCCCAGCGCTTTCCTTTCTCGATCTCTCATTGGGTGCCTCTTGGAATCTTCCTGGGGCCCTTTTGGTCCTGAGGACGTTTCGAGGCCTCCTGGGGGCATCTCAGGCCAGGCTCTGGACTTCTTGCAGCAGCCGTCCTCGGGCGGTCTTCGGCCATCTTCGGAGTGGTCTCGAGGCCTCGGATGGCGCCAGGCAGCAGCGAGCGGGTGGGGAGGCTTCGCACTGGTACGCTGCGAGGGTGTGTATAGCCGAGGAAACAGCTGAGTGAGCTCCTATGAGGCACCAGGAAAGCATTCTAACACACCCCAGCGTGCCCAAGGCACGGGGGCGGATGCTGTGATCAATTTGCCTTGACATATCTTGCCTTGTGCATGCGTTCCCGATAGTCTTCGGGTTGGTTTTCTATGCACGCATATTTCGCGTCAACGCTTCGGGTTCCAAACACAAATCGATTCAGGCTGTTCGAATCCCAAAAGCGCTACCAGTACCACGCCGCTTTCATTACGTCCTCCTACTCCTCCTCTCGTTCCTCCTACTCCTCCTCTCGTTCCTCCTCTCGTTGTCTTGCCCCCTTCCCCCTCGCAGTCATTCCCGCTCCTCCTCGTCACACACAATAACCTCTCTCACTCTTTAACGTCCTACTCGCCTCCAGCGTCGTCGTCGCCAGCGTCGCCAACGTCGTCGTCGTCGTTCTTTTCGTCGCCGTCGTCGTCGTCCTCGTCGTCGTCGTTCTCGTCATGGTCGGCATGGTCGTCGTCGTCTTCGTCGGCGTCGTCCTCCTCCTCATGCCACCCCCTCCTCCAGCCGCTTGGCCGACCGAGGCTGCCCTTCGCAACCCCGCGCGCGGGACCCCGCAGGAGCTGTCCGTGCTCGCCGACGAGATCGCCGAGCTGGTCGCCAGCCGAAAGACGGCGGAGGAGATCCGCGCCAAGGAGAAGGCGGGACTCGACGCCCGCGCGCGGGGAGCGGCCGCGCACCGGGCTTTCTCTTCGCGCTTCCTGCCAGTGCCCCTCTGGGGCTCTGCCGTCGGCTCCCACCTGCAGATTTGGTGCTCGCGCTGTCAATGCTCTGCTCTCCTGGGGCTTTGCAGCGTCGTCCGCACCCTGCCTCTGCATGTCCGAGCTCCGTAGCTGCCTGCACGCCCTCCTGTGCTCAGCTGCGTTCTTGCTCTTACGGGCACCGCGCAGGCCTGATGGAAGCTCGAGAGGTCTCTGCCAGCGTGTCCTCCCCGGTGCGCCCGCGAGCCGCGCAGCACTCGGCTTCCTGGTGCGGCATCCCTGGGTCGCAGTGGGAGGAGCGGGTCCTGAGCCAGGAGCCGGGCGAAGGTTGGCAAACCCGTGTCTGCTGAAGCGGAGCTCCGGGATTTTGTCTGTCTTTTCGTTCTCCGGGAAGCAGCCAGTCTGACTACTCAGTGCGCTGAGCTGTATTTCGGGATTTTTTCTCCTTCCAGGAAGTCAAGGGCATAAAAAAACGCCCCTACCCTGGTTTACGAGGCGCTGTGCGCTGAAACTCCTGTGGGCTGACAGGGTAAACCCTGCGTGATGTGCCGCGTCCTGGTGGCTCTAGGCTTCGGAGGTTCCCAGGAGGTTTACAGACCACGCGCTTGTAACCCGGGGTAGGGTCGCTTTTTTCATCCCTCCAGGAAGACCGCTTTGGCAGCCACGGATTTGCCAGCCCTCGCCCAGCTTCCGCTTGCGGGGAGCGGGTCCCGAGGTTTCTCGTCGTTTGCGGGCTCTCGGGGCCCTCCACGGGCCACGGGACTGGCAGAGGGCGGCTCAGGATGGCGATCTCGTCCTGGAGGGGAAGGCCCCCCAGGCTCTTTACCACACGGACCTCGGCCTGTGGTGTTGTGGAACCTGTGGGTTTACAGCGAGTGCTCAGCTTCGGTCCCTTCGAGAGAGGTGCCGAGAGCACCCCACGGATACCACCAGAGTGTGCCTGCCCAGGATCAGTACAGGACTTTGGCCAAAGGTTCTCTTTTGGAGAGAGCGGATTGCCAGAGGCATCGATCCTGCGTAATTCTTCATAACGCTTCGCGTTTTCACCAGTTCCAGTTCCAGTTCCGCCCGCCCGTCACTGAGAGGTTTGTGGTGGTGGCACTCTCCTCGGGTGTGCGCCAACGGAAAACAGCAGAAGCCGGTGAGGGGGCAGGAGTCGGGCGGGGCTGGCACGAGGATGAACCCGTTCAGAGCGTTCCAGAACGCTCTCAGAGCATTCCCGAGCGCTCTGAGAAGGCTGCAGCGCCCGAGACATCCTCCAGATCCGCCAGATCTCAGAGATTCTCGATTTATCCATCACTGAATATCTCCTCGTCTCGGCTTTGTCTGAAAGGGGACCAACCCTTCCCTCGTTGTTTTTTCTTTGTAGAGGTGCTGAAGGCGCAGGCAATCTCGGACTTCGGGGCGGTTGACGGGGAGCGGGCAGAGTGAGTGGGGGAATTGCACTTCGGGAGGGGGGGGGGGCGCGAAGTGATTGGCGCAACCTCTGGCGCAGCCTTTGGAAGGTAGACAGGGCGGGGACATCGCAATTCGGGGGGGGCATTTCTGGCGCAACCTATGGCCAAACCTGCGGGTGGTACGGTAGGTTTGCGCCGCGTTGACGGGGCGGCGACCCCAGCGCGCGCGTTCAAGGTTACTCGCCGCCAGTGGCCCCAAATGGGCCGCCGTCGAGCGATCAGCGCTATCGGAGAGCCGCGATCGTTCAACTTTCAAAGATCCACGCGGCGTCAGAAACCAACGCTGTCGACGTCGCGACGTGAACCAGCCGTGGACAGACAGGGCGCCTCGCATTCCAGGATGGGCGCGAGGTTTCTGCCGCAGCCTGTGGAGACGGCGGGCCGATACCCGCGGGACCGGCGGTTTCGCCGGCTTTCTTTCCTCTGGTTGCCTGTTGTGCTTGTGTGTGTGTGTGTGTGTGTTTGTGTGTGTGCTTGTGCTTGTGTTGTGTGTTTGCGTGTGTGTGTTTGTGTGTGTGTGTGTGTTTGTGTGTGTGTGTGTGTGTGTGTGTGTGTGTGTGTGTGTGTGTGTGTGTTGTGTGTCTTTTTGTTGTGTGGGTGTGTTTGTTTGTTTGCTTGCTCGTTTGTTCGTTTGTTTGTTTGTTTGTTTGTTTGTTTGTTTGTTTGTTTGTGTGTATGTGTGTATGTGTATGTGTGTGTGTGTGTGCGTGCGTGCGTGCGTGCGTGCGTGCGTGCGTGCGTGCGTGCGTGCGCGCGTGCGCGCGTGTGCGCGCGCGCGCGCGCGTGTGTGTGTGTGTGTGTGTGTTTTTTTTTTTTTTTTTGTGTGTGTGTGTGTGTGTCTGTGTTCGTGTGTGTCTCTTCCGCCTCGGGGAAGCTTTTTCCTGTGCCCCCCCCCTCCCCGCCTCGGCTGGCCGCCTCTCGGCCCTCTTACGCTGCACCTCTCTAGCCCCGCGCACTGCACTCCCTCCACTTGCCGCCCGCCCCAGCCCCCGCTGGCCCGGTTGCTGCCCCGTCACCGCCCCAAGGAGCGGCCGAGTGCTTGCCCGCGCGCGCCTGGCGAGCAAGGGTTGACGGCATGGCGAGTCGCCTGCCGGCTGACGCTCGAATGTGTGTGTGTGTGTGTGTGTGGTTTGTCTGTGTGTGTGTGTGTGTGTATGTGTGTGTGTGTCAGTGTCTGTGTCTGTGTCTGTGTGTGTGTGTGTATGTTTGTGTTCGCGTCTCAGTATCGTTCTATTGGTGCCCATATACAGTCAACGTCATTCACCCTACACAGTCCTTTCAGGTTGTTGCGAACATGCATCTGGCTGCGCGCTTGGATGTTTCCGACTGCACCTTGTAAACGCTCCGTCGGAGTTTTGCTGAGAGCCCGTCGTACTCGGGCAGGACTCGCTCATGTTCGGATAGGCCCAACAGAGTGTCCCAGGACATGATATGAAGCTATGCGCATAGGGGATCTCTGCGTCGAGTAAATTGTATGTATTTCCGCAGGCCCCTAAATCAGGGCCAGCGAGAATGGGATCGGAGGATTGCGCCACGCCGCCGATGCATCGGTGACTCTCTCCAGATCCGACGTAGCCAGTGCGTCGGCGACTCATCGGGGATGCGTGCGCGATGTGTTGCGATCTTCCGACCCTTATATCAGGAGGGAAAGAAACACACACAAAATTAATCGTCGATCCCCCGGAAGATATGAGAAACTATGGCAAGTGGGGGGGGAAGACGAACATCCAGAAAATACAAGAAAATATGGGGAATCCTGGCTTTTGTGTCTATTTACTTGTGTGTCCCTGGGCCTCTTCAAACTAGTCTGGTCCGATTCGGGAAGCCTGCGGCTGGGTTCCTTGAGAAGATGTGCTGCCAGAGCGTCCCGTTCGAGAGGTCCTGTGAGGGCTTCCCAGAGCGCCCCCCCTGGAAAGAACCAGGGGCCGAATTTCGAGGCAGTGCCCGGATCTCCGACGTCGTCATTTTCTTCACGGCCACCGGGAAGATCTTTTTTCTTTCTCCCTCTTGCCCCCTTGCCCTGTGCGCCGCCGAGGGCCAACGCATCCGACAATTCACTCACTGTGTCACGACGAGACGACGAGGACCAGGGAGGAGGATTTGATCATTTGCGTGGCCCAGTCGTGGATCTTCTCCTCAGTTGTGCATCGGACCTGCAGCTGTCAACGGCCAGGACGTCGCAGGTAGGCGCCGTAGCGCCAGGCGTGTGCAACATGTGAACAAGTAGGACTGCGCAAATGGGCAGTACAAAACAATATTAACAAACACGGGCGACGTCATGCACACTTACACAATAAGATCAAGCTCATTCTTGACCGCTATCATCAGAAGGGCTACACATCGTCTGGCTCTCTTCTTTCCTCCTTTTCCTCCTCGTCCTCTTAATTACTCGTTTTGAGATTACATGGTTATTTTGAGGTGTACCCAGAAGCTCCTGAAGTTTGCTGCTTCAGCTTCGAAGTCGCTTTCATTGATTCCAAGACACAGCTGGGGCTACAGCATAGCGCCCCCCAAGGGGCCAGCGGGTCTTGTTGCAGCCTCCCGTTTGCGAGAGTCAGGGTTTCTTCGGCCGTGAGCCGATTGGAGCAGCCTGTCAGACTCCGAGTCTTTGGCAAGGCCAAGGTTTGTCAGGCGCGCCCAGGGTCGGCCATGGATACCCCAACTTCTGGGAATCGTGTTGGGGGAGTCGTCGGCCCACCCGCAGACGCTGCCCTCTCCCTCCGCCGACACCGCCCCCCTTCGTGTGTGCCGAAGCCGTGTTTGTTCTCCCCCTGGGAAGGCGTCAGTTCAGTTCGGTGCCTACTTGTCATCCCCCCTCTGTCGCGCGGCTCTGTGGACTCAGGACCCGGGTGCCCGCGAAGCGGGCCCACAGAGGACCCCCTCCCGGCGGCGTGCAGCACCCGCATGCGGGCCACGGGCCGAAGAGTGCGCCCGCCCACGGCTCGCCAGAGAGACGGCGCGCGATCGGATGAACAACTTGGGGTCGAAGGGGAAAACCTCCTCCTCCTCCTCCTCCTCCTCCTTCTCCTCCTCCTCCTCCTCCTCCTCCTCCTCCTCCCTCCTCCCTCCCTCCTCGGAGGAGGAGGGGCTCCGTCTTTCGGGCCCCTCCTCATGACTTGGGTCGGGGAGCCCACTTGTGGCCGACGCTCCCCCCCCCCCGGAAGGGAAGCCACTTTGTGCCTTCTGTTTTTCGTCGCGTTCCTCGGGTTGGAGCACGCTGGCTGCATCGGCGGCCTGAACAGCGTTCAGAGGCCTGAGGCCTGCCGCCCCGTCCGGGAGTGTTCAGAGGCCTCTCAGGCTTTGAGAAGCCCCGCCGCCTTGTGAACAGTGTTCGGAGGGCGGCGGGGCTTCTCAGGAGCCCTCCGTCGGGGGTGAACAGAGTCCCCACCCTGACACGTCGATCAGTGAATTGTCCGTTTTCGGTTCTCGAGAGGGCGCCGCGGCCGTCATTTTTCGGGCTTGCGCCCGCAAGGTTTTGGCCCGAGGTCGTTTTCACTGAACTGCGTTTTACCAAAGGGGGTTCTGTCCATCCCCGACTCCGGCCTTCCGAGATGCCGTCTCCGTCTTCGGAGGAGGCTCAGCAAACTTCCCAGAAGGCCAGAGGCCTTCCGAGACTTCCGAGAAGGCCCGCCCCATTTGACTCCCCCGCTCGCCGCCGACATCAAGACGGGAGGAGGAGGAGGAGGAGGAGGATGACGAGGAGAAGGAGGAGAAGGAGGGTTTGCGGTGGTTTCGTTGGGGCCACCGTTGGAGGAGCAGAAAGCGGAAAGAGGAGGAGGAGGATGAGGAGGAGGAGGAGGAGCAGGAGGAGGTTGAGGAGTAGGGGGAGGATGAGGAGGAGGAGGTTGAGGAGGAGGAGGTGGAGGAGGTGGAGGTGGAGGAGGTGGAGGAGGTGGAGGAGGAGGAGGAGGTGGAGGAGGAGGAGGAGGAGGAGGCCCGTCTAGCTTTTGCTGCCCTCAGGCGGAGAACGAGTTCACCGTCGCAGAGGCGCAGGATCGGCCCGGTCCAAGCTGTGGGCGAGCGCGAGCGCAGATGACGGCGGCGACGAGCCCGGCGGCGATGCTGCCGCCTATGCGGGCAGTGTCTATATCCACATCCAGTGCGCTTTGGAGTTTCGGACTCTCTTCCCAAGAAGCATGAAGCGCACTGGATATGGATTATAATATGCCTCCAGAAGGCTAAACTTTTATCCATATCCAGTGCGCCTCGGCCTTGCGGCGCCCCTTCCAGAAAGGCCAAGACGCACTGGATATGGATATAATGATTGCCCGCAGCCTACGCTGGCGATTGCGGCGGTGCTGGAAACGTCTACGGTTTTGCAGTCTGCAATAGGCGGAGCAGGTACAGTGGAGACGCATGCCAGGAACCACCCTGCTTGCCTCCAGGGTGCCCCTCGGTTTCTTGGGTTTCGATGGTTCTGCTATGGAGAGCGTGACGTTCCCACGCCCAACATCAAGGGACGTCCTGGAATCTCAGGGTTGGGTTTCTCGTGGAAGGTTTCTTGTGGTCGGCCCCCTACTGCAGGTAGGGCACAGCCGCATCTGCATCTCAGTCTCTCTTCCTCCGCTTCCTCGAGTTCACACGCTCTCCTTCCTGCATCCAGATCTGTTCGCTCTGCCCTCGTCGATCTCACCTCTCTCTCTCTCTCGCTCTCCCCTGGTCTCTCTCTCTCTCTGTGTCTGTGTTTGGCCTCGTCCCCACCTCGATCTCTGTCTGCGTCTCCATCCCTACAGCAGCTACCGTGTGCGTGTAACAGTGAAACCGTCGACAGGCGTTTGCACGGCATGCGCACACGTACTCCGTGCATAGGTGCACGTGCACGGCAGGGCATGTGCAGAGCGCGTGCCAGAGGCAGCACATTCGCACTCTTATAATATTATGCGCGTTTTGTTGAATTGTCAGATGCCTCAAGGCTGGTCTCGAAGCCATCAACATGGCCATGGACATCTTGGACAAGTGGTGCTCTTCCCGCTTCACCACCCTCACCTGTTCCACCCCACTCCGTGCAAGCCTTCTCTTCCTCCCGGTGCGTGTTCCTACCCCTCCTTTCGTTCGGCCGCTGTGCTTGCCCGCGCTTCCTCCCCACGCTCCCCTGCTCCCCCCCGCCCTGTCATATTTTCAGCTCCTCGTCGCTTCTTCCTATCAGCCCCCCTCCTTCTTCGGTGGCAGCGTCAGGGGGGGCGGCTGGCCCAGGCGGGGGAGGGGGAGCGCCGACCCTCCCTCTCGCCGACTCGCCGCCCGACAGGGCCCGGGTACCCCCATCCCGCCTCGGAACGTGCGGCTTCGCCATCGGGGGCCTACAGTGGAGACCCATGCCAAGAGACACCCTGCTGTTGCCTCCAGGGTGCCCGGGTTTCCTGGGTTTCGACGGTCTTGCCATGGAGAGCGCGGCGTTGCCACACCAGGAAAACTCAACGGACGTCCCGGGGTCTCAGGGTTGGGTTTCTTGTGGAAGGCCTCTCGTGGTCGAGCTCCTGCAGTATTCGCCGATCTATCAGCGATGCACCGCCGACTCCAAGGCGGTGCTGCCCCCCCGGAGCCGCAGCCAGCCAGCCCTGCGAGCAAGGGTGCCCTCGAGGGCGCGAGGTTATTCGCGCTTCGGGCTTCGCGCTTCGCGGTGCGGCTCCGACTCCTCCTCGTCCTCCTCTTCTCCCCTGGGATGCGTCGCGAGAGCGTGAAGTTGTTCGCACTTCGCGCTTCGCGCAGCGCGAAGCGCGAAGTTGGGAGCCCTTGGGACACCCTCCGCTGGATGTCCTGGGCCTCAGAGGGGAGGGCGGCGGTGTGCAAAGCACCGCTGAGAGCCAGCGACTCTGGGCACCGCCCCCTCCCTGAAGGCACACGCAGAGTTCGTCGGAGGGTGTCTGTGTATACAGTCGGGGCGTTGACCTAAGGAACCCTGAATAAGGAACGAGGCCCCTTTTGTCCATAAGGTAAACTTCGATTTACCTTTGAAAACCTGAGGAAAACCCAGGGCAAACTGTAAAACAATCAAGGAACACCAAGCCCCTCCCCATCGAAAAGGGTTCCTTCTTCAGCGCCCCGACTGTATGGCTTCGTGCCGTAGCATGAAGTCGGGCATGTCCCTCAACAAGAGGAGTACCAACAAAACAAATCAGGGGATGATTTTCTTACATCCTTGACTATTTTTGAGCATTGTTTGAGTATCTCTTCTTTTACTTGTTAAAATCCGCCTGTGGGAGGACACGCCCGACCTGAGCGCAGCACCCTCGCCTTGGCGTGCAGTGCCTCCGCCAGTGGGTCTGCTTCTCTCAGGTGCTGCCCGCGCCTCTCGGCGCGCCCCTCACGACGAAGCCCAGAGACCCCGAGGCCCCCCACCGAGAAGCACGCGAAGAGCTGGGGGCACCTTGAAGGAACACCCGTGGAGGCCTCCAGAGGTGTTCAGAGGCCCTCCGAAGGCCATTCGAATGCCATCGGAAGGCCATTCGAAGGTCGTCGAAGGTTTGGGATGGCTTTCGAAGGTCGTCGAGGTCCCGCGAAGTTCTTCGAGGCCTCTGGCAGCGCCCGGAGGTACAAGACGAACGCGAAGAACGAGGTCTCGCTCTCCCAGCAGGGCCCCGCGGATGACGCGCCCGACGCGGGCTTCGACAACTTCGAGGCGCGGGCCAGACGTTCTCCATCCAGGGCCCTCGCTGGCCTCTTCTCTTTATCCTCCTCCTCCTCCTTGGCTATGCTTGGCGCTTGGGGCCGTCTCGGATACAGTCATCCCCGCATAGGAAGGATGAGGCTTTCCAAGGGTGCCCTTGCATCCTTCCTCTTCGGCCCATCCTTGGCCAGTTTCGCTGGCCGCGCCCCGCTCGCACAGTGTCGACATGGCCTTCCAAGGCCCTGGCGTGCTGCTTGTGCGTCCTTATTCTACGGGTTGTCTGCAGGTTCGTTGCGCACCTGCGCAGCAGCACAGGAAACAGGAAGGAGGGCGGCCGCGGAGGAAGGCGAAGGGGGGAAGAGTTGCGAGATGGTGCGGCTGCACCTGTGTAGCGGGGCAGTCGATAGGACTGGGGACATCAAAGGGCACCGAAACCGCTGCCCCCCGGACCCGTCCCGAGGCGCGTTCTGACCAGGATCTCGAGGCGAGTCCAGCGCGGTGGCGAAGAGGGAGGCCACGGAGGCCCCCAAAAGGGAAGAACGGGCGAAGGGTAGAGGTACAGTGGAGGCCCATGCCAAGAAGCACCCTGCTTGCCTCCAGGGTGCCCTGAGTTTCTTGGGTTTCGATGGCTTTGCCATGGAAAGCGCGACGCTCCCACACCCAAAATCAAGGGACGTCATGGGATCTCAGGGCTGGGTTTCCTGTGGAAGGCTTCTTGTGGTCGGGCATCCACTGTATTGGTACCTATTGTGAAGGCCTTACGGCCGGTGCCGTCGACCCTGAAGGCTTTGGCCGTCGATGGCGACGGGATGTGTGATGACAGGAAGGAGCCAAAGGACAACGTGACAGGGTAGGCGGAGGAAGTGTGTGAGGAGGAGGAGGAGGAGGAGGAGGAGGAGGAGGAGGAGGAGGAGGCGCACGGGATGTGTGCTATGACAGGTAAGCAGCCGAAAGGACAACGTGACAGGTAGGCGGAGGAGGAGAGTGTTGGGAGCAGTGAGAGGAGGAGGGAGGCACCCGGAGGAGTGTGATGAGGAGGAGGACTGAGAGAGGGGGGGAGAAAGTAGGAGGACGGGGAAGGAGGAGGACGGGGAGGAGGAGGAGTGGAGGAGGAGGAGGTAGGATCCAATGAAGATCCCGCCGCCGGGCGGGAAGGCGGGCCCCACCCTAAGAGTGGATTAGTGGTTGCAGGGTAGTGGATGAGGTAGGTGAGGAGGGGGCTGGAGGACGGGTAGGGAGGAGGAGGAGGAGGTGGTCGGGCCTCCACCGTATTGGTACCTTTTCCTCCTCAGATAGGGCCGTGGAGCAGCTCTGGCGGCACGGCCCACTGCAGCCGCCGGGCTTCTCGGGGCGCCGCGGCCCTCTCCGGCCAGGCGTCCAGGAGCTCCGACGGGTGCTGTACGAGGGAGGGCAGTCGGAGGTTGATAGACTTAAGCAAGGGCGCCCTCGAGGGCGCGAAGTTATTCGCGCTTCGCGCTTCGCGGTTCGGCTCCGATTCCTCATTCTCCTCTTCTCCCCTGGGAGGCGGCGCGAGAGCGCGAAGTTATTCGCACTTCGCGCTTCGCGCAGCGCGAAGCGCGAAGTTGGGAGCCCTTGATCGGGCCTGTCCATCTGCAGGGGGAATATTCAACATTTTGGAGTATTTGTTGAGTACATTGTTCATCTTTCGTCGAAGATCCCCCTGTAGGGGGACACGCCCGACTTCATGATAGACCTCCTTTGCTGACACGTCGATCAGCGAATCTGCCGTTTTCGGTTCGCGAGAGGGCATCGCGGCCATCGTTTTTGCGGGTCCAGGTCCGTCGGGTATCGGTCCCAGGCCGTTTGCACTAAAGGGTGGTTTACTAAAGGGAGGTTTGTCCACCGCCAAGGAAGGGAGATATACAGTCAACCCGCATAGCAAGGATGAGCCTTCCCAAGGGCACCCTGTCTGGTTGACCCAACGGGGTCCAGCTGAAGGGAGGTGGTGCAAGAGATCTGCGGCAATTGTATCGCAAGTGTATTGCGCTCGGGAATGGTATGGCATTGTGTTGCAACTAATGTACTGCACGCGAAAATCCAGCAATACATTTGTACTCCGAGATGTATTGCACGCCCCAAATCTATTGCAACCCCACAAATCTATTGCACCAGATCTATTGCACCACCCCCTTGCATCCTTGCCTCCTCGGCTCATCCTTGGCCGCTTTCGTTGGCCGCGCCCTGCTCGACAAGCTTCGAAATGGGCGCCCAAGGCCCTTGCATCCTTGTCGCGCGTCCTGATGACACGGGCCGACAGTAGGGCGAGAGAGGGAGAGATCGCAGCAACTCGGATGGCGGGTCATCCAGGCACCTGGCCCGCACGTACTTGGCAGGCCTTCCTCGCAGAGCGGGAGGCACCGCATGCGGAACAATGGTGGATACTAGAGGCTCACGACTGAAGAAAGGGCGGGCGGCGGTGATCAGACCTCGCCAGGGTCCGTCTGCGCCACCGTGCGGAGAGAGGCACTGGCGTTGAGCGCACTTTGGCGTGCGCGCCTCGGCGCCCAGGGAAGAGCGGCGCCGCCTTGGGGCATCCCCCGTAGCCGCCGAGGAAGAGGGCGAGCCACGAAGTTGCCAACAGGTTCACGCGGCGCGTCGAGCGAGCAAAGGTGAGAGGGCCTCGGTGCAAGGGAAGCGGGGCCCCTGGACCGGCCAGGGGCCCTCACTCGACGGAGCACGCCTGAGGCCATGACGTCGGTCCCGAGCTGCCCAGGGGCTTGCCCAGTGGCGCGCACCTGGGGGGCAGAGCAGGCGGCAGCGGCGCCGAGGGGCAGCGTGAGCCTGGGGATGGAGCCACGCTCGGACAGCGTCGGAGTGTAGGTACGGACGGTGTCGTCGTCGTCGTCGTCGTCGTCGTCGTCGTCGTCGTCGTCGCCGCCTTCGACGTCGTCGTCGTCGTGGTCGTCGTGGTTGTCGTTGTTGTCGTCGTCGTCGTCGTCGTCGTCGTCGTCGTCTTCGTCGTCGTCGTCGTCGTTGTCGTCGTCGGGACAAGTCGGTCCCCAGCGCTGGTGAGAAGGTGTCCAGCCAGGCCGGGCGTCGGTCGCAGG